GGGATCCCAAAAGAAATGGGGAAACTGACACTCAGAGAGTCTGTTAGGAATAGATTTGAGGGATTCTACCTCCTTATCTCCCAACAAAAAAGGATTGGGGAAAAAAAAAAAAAAGGATTGGAAAAACATCATTTAATTCATAGTATTCAAAAATCCCGTTTGAGGCTGGGAACTCTAGGAGACCTACTCCTTGCCTAAGCTGCTCCCCCAACTTCCGTGGTGGCCTGTGTCTCTTGGTTGGCCCTGCCCAGTGACATGCCCTACCTTTGGAGCAGACTTCTCTGAAAAGCCCCCCGCTGAGCCATCTTCAGAACTGCTAGGTTTCTGTTTACAGCAAAGAGAAGGACAGGAAAAATTCAGCTGACAGGTCACTGCCCAGTCAAATGGATCTTTTTATTTTTATTAAGAATTATTTCTAAATTTTATTTTATTTCATTTTAATTTGCTATAAGACTCATGCACTCACCAGAAACAGTGAGAGAGAAAGCGAGAAAGCAAGCCGCCAGGTCCGGGACTCAAACCAGTTAGCCATGTGGGAGTCCAGCGCTTTAACCACCATCCAACCTCCTGGCCCCAGTCAAATGAATCTTATTTCTACGTCTTCTCCACACACGTGAGAGAAGCCAAATCTTCCTCCTCACCCCTGCCCACAAAGCCTATGCAATCTTTAACAGTGAGGCCATCATGACAGGATCTCTAAAGGGGGTTGCAGGTAGCTCTATACACAAGGTGAAAACGCACTTCTCAACAGCCTCCTGCCCCCGGGTCCAAACCCATCAGGTGAGCATCCCCAGACTTCCTTTAACTTTATTCCCTCCATGTGCAAGTGAGAGAGACGGTATCTCCAACAAGACCCTGACACCACAATCATCCCGAGCCTCAGCTGGCCCCTAGCCGTGGGCACAGCTGAGTCCTACATACTCAAGGAGGCCTTTGGACATGAAAACCCAGAACCTTATTGTGGGTCGGCCTCACAGAGCATTGCATTTTTCATTCTTAAGGGGTTTGCTATAGGGCGCATGCACTCACCAGAGAAACGGTGACAGAGAGAGGGGAAGTGAGAAATCATCCACCAAGGGGGATGGCCACACCACAATCCCTTCTCCTCCGTCCTCCTCTCAGGATTTTGGGCACACATGCACACATGCCCAGCATGATTTTTCAAGCTGCCGAGTCCAAAACTTAAACCATGGAGTCAGCTATGTGGGATCCAGCACCTTAGCCACCACGTCACCTGCTGGCCTGAGAGCATTTTAATGCAACACCGCTGTCCAGCCCTGTGGCTGACTTCTGATTTTCAGGGCTCTTGGAGGAAAACCCCAAGTGGTGTCATTCTCGATACTCACCACTTCGCTGCGACAGGTCATGACTGCAGCCACTGTCTTCTCCCCGGTAGTGGCAAAGCTCACCAGGGCAGTCTGGGGAGAAAGCAAGGTGCAGTTCCTCAGTACTAGCCAGCAGCCTGACAGGTCACCTCTCCAGGGCAGGCCCTTTGGCCTTGGAGTGGAAAGTGCTCCTGGCTTTGGAGAACAATGGCCAGGGCATCAGATGAAAACAGGACTCTCCCTGGCTTCCAAACAGGCACGCGTCCATCCTAAACCCCAGATGCTCACAGAATATTTGCTGCTTTAATTTCCACCCCCACCTTCCCACAGACTCAGAGGAAAAGTGCTGGTTTTGCTCTACAGGCCCTCTGTAACACTCAGGAGGAAAAAGGAGACCATTTCTGCAGTCAGGTTGCCTGGTCCTCTCAAACCACTTGGACCGCCAACCTTGGGCCTAAGCACTGGTATCTCCAGGTTCAAAGGCAGTGCCTCCTAGCGCCTATATCTTGGCTAGATCGGAACCTTAGCAAATCCTGCAGCCTGCCGTACCTGTGGGAAGTTTTTGAGCAAACTCAGGACACCGTGATGGTAATGCAGCAGAGCATAGTGGCTTGGGGACAACTGCAAGAAGAACTGGGCCCGAGAAGGATCCACTGGGTTGGGCTGAGTGGGCAGGACCCGCGGTTGGAATCCACTTCCAAATTCTAAACCAAGAGACTGGGATACAAGAAGGAAGAGGATTAAAGATAGAAACCAACAAGCTACTGACCCATGCGAGGCTTGCATCCTCTGCCAGACTTTGCCAAGAGATGTAACGAGGCCCCACAGGTGGCTGCAGAAGCTCCAGGTCAGATTCCCCAGAGGGGGAGAGGTCCATTTCCCTTACACCAGTACAGCCAGAGGCCTGGTCTCTCTAAGGCTGATACAACGTAGGAAGAAAGCAGTGACACCAGGAGCGAGAACCACCCAACAGTCACACCACCTTCCAACGCTCCAAAAGCAGCGTCTCAGGCCGGGGGAAACAGCTGTAACGTCTCACCTGCAGTGGGATCTGCCTCAACTCCCACTCCGTCTCAAGGGCCAAGGTTTGAAGCGAACGTGAGCTTGGGTCAGGGCACACCAGGACAGCTTCATCCACCACACCACAGGCCCCAGTGAGATGTTGCAGCCATGGAGTTGAAACCCTGACCTATGGAAACACGCAGTGAAAGGAGGCTCACGAGGGTTTCCGTGTTTCTTGCTCAGCTCGTCAGCACTACCTGTCTAATCCTCCTGGGCAGCTCAAAGGCTCTTCAGGGTTGGTTGCCCTACAGTGCTTTCTGTCCCTACGTCCCCCTCCTCAGCCTCCCAGGAGCCTCCAAACCTGGAGGAAAATCAGGATTTGCTTTCTGGTCACTGAAAAAAATGCACCAGATAATTCTACATACCAATACTCAGATGCGCACTTTCATACACATGTAGTTTCCTACCGTTATTTTTATTATTCATTCATTTTCTTTTCTGTGGCTTGCCTATTTTTCTATTAAATTATCTTTCATCCATTTTTAATTCTTTCTGTACTTTGAATTGACTTTCCTTTTCTTTCTTTCTTTCTTTTTTTTTCTTAAATAAATATGCTATAGGTAGTATATAATGCCCAAGTGGGAGAGACAGAGGGGAAGTGAGAAATCACACCCCTAGAGAGACGGCTCCACGAAAATCCCTTTTCCTCCATTCTCTGTTCAGGATTCTGGGCACGGATGCACAGTGCGTTTTTCCAGCCTCCAGATCCAGGACTTGAACCTTATAGTTGACCATGTGGGATCTAGCTGCCTTAACCATTACACCACTAGCTGGCCCTCCTACCACTATTTTACAGAATCATGCTGTAAAGAACTGCTAGGCAGTGAGGATATCTGTGTAACTTTTTTTTTTTTTAATTTTTTGGGGTAGAGGCTTAAGCCTTAGGGCACACGCACTCACCAGAGAGAGAAAGACAGAGACAGTGAAGGAACGTGAGAAACCACCCCCCCAGGGGGATGGCCATGCAACCCCTTCTCCTCCATTCTCCTCCTACCATCTTGGGCACGCACGCACATGCACCTGGTGTGAGTCTCAAGCCACCCAATCTGGGACTCAAAGCATGGTCAGTAATGTGGGAGTCAGTGACGTAACTGCTATGCTGTATACCAGACCCAGGTCTGTGTAACTTTTTAGCCCGCACAGAAGAGTCCCATTTGCAAAGACAAGGATTTTAAGTAAAGGTTTGATAAGGACGCAGTTGGCAAGTGACCAGAACCCGGGACTATAAATGGACTTTGTATCTGCCCAGCTACGTTCCCTGGCCTCCGGTGCAAAGGATGCCCACCATCTTCCTGCCCATCCACAGGGCTCAAGCCAGATGCCCGACCCACCTGCTGA